GTAACTCTCGGACTCCTTTGGTTAGGGGTACACTCCCTCCTTCTTTACCCCAGCTCCAAACTGTCTTGGTAGCCGACCTACCATGTCTGCTTCTATTGCCCCACAGGACACTAGCCGTGGTCACTTAGGGCAGGTGTGTAGGAGTATGCTAAGCCCTGCCCATCTCTGGCTGGATGTGCCTGACCTATGGGTGGGGTGCCAGTGGTGGGCAGGAGGTAGAAAGCTGCCCCGCCTGCCCAGCCCCAGGCACGGCCCACAGACCCACCCTGCTGGGGCTCTGCCCGCCCCAACTCTGTGCTCTCCAGGCCCGAGGGTGACTAGGCTGAGGGGTCACCACTTCTCTCACTCCCTGGCCTGGCTATCTGGGAGGAACCGATGAGCACCAGGGTACCCTGGGGACCTGCTGTCATCCTACTGCCACCTGATGGGGGCGGCCAACCTCATCGCAGCCCAGGGGCTTTGCTTAGACTGCCCTCCTGGCTGCCCAGCTTCTCAGGGTCAGCAAAGTCCATCACAGCACTGATGGCCATCCTCTTGTCCCCAGAACTCTCTACAGGATGGCCAGGGTCCTGCTGCTTGCCAGGCTCTGTCACACTCACTAGGCCATTTGAACCTTGTAGCTACCCTGTGTGGGAGGTGCTGCTGGGATGCTTGTCACCACGATAACCTCATGGTCTGAGCAAGACGGCAGTGAGCCCACAGCGCATGCCCGCCAGGCTGGGCTCCGTGCCACGAGCTCACTGCACCCTCACAGTGGCGGTGAGGGAGGAAGCTGTCGCGGTCACCCCATCTCACAGACATGGAGGCTCAGCAAGGTCATGTGACTGAGCAGCTGAGCTGGACCTCAGGCTGCCTGAGTCCGAGCTCTGGCCTGTCACACGTTGTCATCTCATTGTTCCCTCTGTGTATACAACCTCTGTTTACGGTCGATGTTGTTGGGATCGCAGGGCTGGACATGCCAGCCAGGACCCTCGCCCTGAGGGCTGCTTGGCGGGAGGGCAGGTGCCGGGCTGGGCTCTTGGTGGTGGAGCCTAGGGCACCTGCACAGCAATGAGAGGGGCCTGCTCCCGTGGCAGTCCCTGTAGCCCCCAGGCCCCTGCTGTCCTGGGGAGGGTCTTCACCTGTATATTCAGGAAAGCAGATGGTCAGCGGGGACTTCCTGATTTTCTCTTCAAATATGTCCTTCTTGTTGAGAAACAGGATGATGGATGTGTCTGTGAACCACTTGTTGTTGCAGATGCTGTCGAACAGCTTCAGGGACTCGTGCATGCGGTTCTGCAACAGAGCGGAGAGCCGGGTGAGGGGTGGCAGTCCAGGCCCTGACCCACCACGGCCACGACACAGCGCGACAAGCAAAGGGAAGGTCCACCAACGCGGTTGAACGCACCACCGGGGACAGAGACAGGAGGGCCCACGAGGACAAACGAGATGTGTCCCTGCTTCATTCCACGTACAGGCAGAGTGGGGCGGAGCAGGGACTCATGGGGAATACTGTCCCCTTCCACGGGGAGCTGGCCTGGGGGGGGCCACGAGGTCACTGGAGAAACTCTAGCCGGGAGAGGACATGCACCATGCACGCGGAGGGTGGGGCCGCATGCCGCGGCAGCCGCCCACAAGGCACGGCAGGTCATGCAGCTTCTCTACGGGTCTCATCGTTCCGCCAGCGAGGTCGGGAGGGTGCACGCATTCAGTTGGGTGACATTAACCGAGGACCAAGACAGCCTCGAATTAATCCAGAGTTGGAAGCAGACACCAGGGGGACAGCGTCTTGGGGGTGATCTTGCTGTGGCCTGGGTTGGTGGTGATTTGGGCAGTTGGCCAGGCCATGGGGAGCCCGGGGAGGCTCTGGGAGAACAGGTGGTTGGGACTGGTTTCTCAGCAGAGGGGCCAGAGGAACCCCAGATGAAACAGCCAAACAGATTTCGACCGAGCGGAAGAGGAAATCCCAGCAGCAACCACGAGAGAAAATGGGGAAAAAGGAAAACACTGGCCAGTCTCAGAGCCTGGAGGTCCAGGGCAGTCTGTGCTGAGGCCCCGCGCAGGCTCACAGAAGCCAAGGCGTCAGGCCGGGGACAGCATGGCTGCAGAGGGAGGCTGGGGCAGGAGGCTGACTTGAGCCAGTGGCCCCGGGAGGGGTGTGGGTGAGGTGGGCCGGTGGTGTTCACAGCAAAGTCACCCCGCGGTTCCCTGACAGACTGCTGCTTTCAACTCTTAGTTGATGGCTTCGATTGGAGGGAGGCGCTTCATACCTGCCGGGCTCGAAGGGTCTCTCAGAATCGGCTCATGGTTTGGCCTTGGTTTGGCAAGATAAGGCCCTGGTAGGCGGTGGTGACAGTAGAGGTTGTGGCAGCCCGCGGCTTGGTGTGTGGTGCTGAGAGCTGGTACGAGGACAGGATGAGCCCTCGGGGTCCCAGGGTGCGGCGGGCAGGGTGACCAGTCCGGTGGGTGGCAGTCACTAGCCCCAAGGTCCTCCTGGCTTTTGCTCCAGGAGCTGCCTGCAGGCACCTCTGTCTTGGGCAGCCCAACTCTCGCCCCGGCCAGAGGGAAGCACAGGGGTGACCAGAGAGAAAGGCTGAGGCCGAGGACTCGGTCCCTGGTGCCTGCATCCTGTCTCTGGGGTGGAGCACCCACGTGCAACGACTTGCCCTCTGGCCACAGCATCTGGGTGCAGGAGCAGCAAGGGTCATCCCCAGAGATGACTCTGGGTGCCAGCACCCAGCTTTCAGCCCAGGGGTCCCCACAGCTGCCCACAATTTCAGTCGACCATCACTGCCATTTTTAGAAGCGGCCCAGGGAGGCTGGGGCAAGACCCTGATCACGCAGTGGACAGGCGGTGCCAGGCCCTGGACCATATCCACTGAACGCCCGGCTGCCCACCTCTGCCCACCAACTGCTGAGTTCTGCAGCAACTACGTTCCTCGCGGTGCCGCTGTGGCAATGGGCTGCTTTTGAGTTGAAACGCCGACCCCATTCCCTGGGGGCTGCTGTCCTTCCCTGGGCGGTGTCAGTGGCCAGTCTTGGAGAGGGAAGGGCCCGAGGAACATCCCCGTCCTGACTCTGGCCCATATACTTTTCTTCCCCAAGGTCCTCTGCTCCTGGCTTGTGCAGAGAGCAGTGGAGATGAGGGAAGGGGTGAGAGGAACGGTGAGGCAGGGAAGAGAAGGGAAGGGTCCAGGACAGGGCCTGCTCTGCCACCAGGGCAGGTGAGGAGTTCATGGGGAGGCCGGCTGGGCACCACTCAGCCCTCTTATTCCTGGAGATCCAAGGGCCATGGAGCTCGGTGCCTGTGGTTGCTGGGGCCACCCAGACCACCCATGGCTGATGGCCTAGGCCTGAGCCTGAGCCGTCTGAGGTCTGGCAGGGCAGGTCAAGGGAGAGGCCATACTTCTGTGGGAAGGGCCCACCTGCCCTGCAGCCTCCAGCTCTCCCTCTCCTCGCCACCGATGGCTGGAGGCAGCATCCACTCCCATGTGTGGCCAGGAGAAAAGGCAAACCAAGCCAAGCTCAGACCACGGACTAGCCAAGGGGACAGTGAACCGTTGCTCTCATAGCACAGGGTCAACCCATGGAGCAGTTAAGGATGCGCTGGGACAGTCACCCTGAGGCACACATTGCCAGGAGCTGTCTTGGGCTTCGGGTGGTCACTGTGCCTGTGGCCCTAGGGCACCCAGGGCATGTCTGCCCCTGCCCTACATTCAGGGTCAGGACGAGGTTGGTGCCTCCTCAACACCCCTGCCTGCAAAGGTCACTGAGAATGACACAGCTGAAACCCAGCCCAGGGCAAGTGACACAAGGTGCGGGTCCAGATCACCCTCTCAGCTGGTGGCTTTGGCTCCACCAGTCTGTGTGAGCCCCTCCAGGTGGCACCCTCCTGCCATAGCACCACACCCCCAAACCCATCCTGTCTTCACAGCAGCTCTGTGGGACCAGCAGGGCTTGGCTGACGAGGAAACAGGGACACAAAGGTCGAGGCCCAGCCTGACAGCCCCTCCTCAAACCCCCAGCACTGTCCTCGAAAGACTCAGAGTGAAGGACAGAGGCTGGGGAGTGAGTCCCCAGCCCACGGGCCCTGCCCCAAGGCCCCACTGGGTTCCCCACGCAGAAGAGTCTGGCAGGCCCCTGTCCTTGGGCTGTAGCCATGGGGCCACCTGGCCCAGGGCCATCGCCAGGGACAATACGACCACCAGCTTGGTGCTGCTGTGCCCAGAACAGTTCCAGTACTGCCATGGATCACTCCATCCATGCCTAGCAGCCTCCCCAAGCCAGGGTCCGTCACTGTCCCCTCTTTATAGGAAACAGTGACCAAGGCAGAGAGGAGCTGCCTCAATTCAGCAGCAACTCGATGCTAGCAGACCTAGGACCGGCCCTGGGGATGGCTGCAGACACTCTCCAGGTGACTGTCCCCTCTGCAGTGGGGGGCAGTTCTCAAAGGCCAAAACCCGAGGCCCAGAATGAATGTGGCGCAGGGACAGCATCCCACCGACGCAGACGGAGCCAAAGCCACACCTGTTGTTACCCACCAGCATGCCTCCACCCACTGCCCTGCTCAGCCTGCCAGCCACACCCCTTCGTGCAGCACCCTGGTCAAAGCCCCAGAGCGGGGAGACTAGTTCTGCTGTGTATGCGTGCTCGCTTGGCCGAACCCTGACTTTTAAGGATTTGCTTGATCCTGTTCTGGCCTGATGGCCCCCTGACTCTGCTGAGTTTACTGAAGGCGCATTACTGCCCAGGACGCAAGTTCTGCTGAGCTCTTTGTGGTCGGTTTGCACCCAGCCCCTGTGCTCTCTTTGCGGCTCTGAACTCCCGAGGCATCTTCCCTGGCAACACGGACTGAGAGCGAGCCAGCCTGACCCACCCACCAGAGGTCCCCAGAGCCGGCGGCAACGGAGGCCCCCAGTGCTCCAGGGCTGGCCTGTCCTGCAGTCAGCCCTTTCAGTGTCTCCTCAGGCTGGGTGGCCAGCCCAAGTGCTGCCCCTGCCCAGTGGGCCCAGCCGACTCACCGTGGTTTCGTCTTCGTGGAGCACCTGGTCATAGCCGCTGAGTGCGACACAGAAGATGATGGCCGTGACGTCCTCGAAGCAGTGGATCCACTTCTTGCGTTCAGATCGCTGGCCCCCGACGTCGAACAGCCTGCCAGGAAGACAGGAGCTGATGGGCGGTGAGGTCCAGGCAGGTGGGGCGCCTGGTGGTCCAGCTCAGTGGCCTCTCAGGGCCCCACGAGGGGTCCTCACTCCAGGTGATGACCGACAGACCACTGCCATCCCTGGGGCTGGTGGCAGCCATCACTGCCCCTTGAGCCTCTCCCAGGACCAAGCTGTGCTCACGTGGAGTGACCTAAAGACCTGCCCTTGCACCTGAAGAATCACTAAGGGGCCCAGAAAATGCCCCAGGGAGCCTCCCTCCCTTGGAACACTGACATGCTCTTCCTTTCTGCCTGTATGCTGTGGACAAACGGAAAGCCTGCCCAGACAGGAGACAGGAGGAATTGTCACCTGCTTTGTGGGTGGGAAAAGTGGGCACCAGGAGCCTAAGGATGTGCCCAGCTCCTGCTGTGAGTGTGAGTGCAGGGTGGCTGGGTCTGACCAGCCTCTGCTCTGCACTGTCCCTCCACAGCAGTCTGAGGGGAGCTCTGGCCGCCCCTCAGACTGCATCCCCCAGGGCCTGAGGCTGTGGGAGGAGGCTGCAGGCTGGTGGGCAGGTCTTGGAAATCTAAAGTCAGCGTCACATCCTAACTGATGAGCAAGGAGCCCTGCAGCCTCCCGGACCCGGGAAGCTGACTGTCAAACAGCTGCAGAGGGGGTGACCTGGCCCTGCAGGGACAGGAATGGTCCAGACAGAAGAGAGCAACTGCAGGCACAGATCAGGGCCAGTGGAGAACAAGGAAACGAGCGAGGGTCTCATTCTCTTCCTGCCTCCTGTGGACCCCACCTCCCCACCTGTAGCCCCTCAGCATCTGACTGCTGGCCAGGGCTTCAGGGGTAAGTAGGGGACACGGAGGAGACTGGAGGCCTCTCAGAGGGCACTACTGCATGCTGGGTGCCCAGCAGGCTCCCACAGACTTGCAGAGGGGCTGCCTATGGCCCAGGAGCCTGGATAGAGGCTCAATCCCTCTGGCTGCACAGGAATGGCAGGAGGCCAGAAACAGGACCTTGCAGCTGTCCACCAGCCTGAGGTCCCGGCCCTCCCTTCCCTCCTGGCCTCTCTTCTTGTTCCATTTGACACCCAGAAACCACACCCGGAAGCCGGGGCAGGACAAGTGGCCAGTCCTCAGTGCACCGAGGTCCCCCAGGGAAAGGACCCTCCCGCAGGGCCTTACACCTCAGGGCCCGTTCAAAGAGACTCAGAGCCCTTGGGTCCCAGCCCCTGGGTCTGTGCCTTGGGGAAAACTTGCTTCTCTCAGGCCTCAGTCCCCAATATGTTCTAGGAGAGGGGGTCCGCTGCTCTCTAAAAGCCTCTACCTCTGAGGTTAAGTGAGTTCTTGGGTCTCACAGACATCCCTTGGGCTTACCTACCCCTAGTCCCCACCATCTGGCCCTCTAGTAATTACCTTAGGGACAGTTTTCCTCTCCTTTTCCATCCAAATCCTCCTTTTCCTCATAGACCCATTCCAGGACCCCCCTCCTCCCAGGTAGGCCCCCTGCTCAACCCAGCCTTGAACCTGGCAAAAATAAGCGCATAGGCCTGCCGCTTCTGGTTCCTAAGTGCCTGTCCCAGTGTGAAAGTGTCCCCAGGCTGGGAGCTCTCTGGCTGTACTGGTGAGATGAGGTTGAGAGCCCGGGCATCTCCTGTCACTCTGCCACCCTCACCAGGGTCTGGCTGTCTCCTGGGCCTCACCTGAAGTGGAGGTTCTTGAATGTGAAGTGGGTTTCTACGATGCCGGTGGTTTTGACCCTGGTTCGGAGGATGTCCTGCTCGGTGGGCTGGTAGTCGCCGGCCCCAATCCGATCCAGGCTGTCTAGGTAGCTGGGGATGGCAACACACAAGGCACCATAGACCCTCCACCTGGGCACTGCTCAGGGCTCACTGGGTCACCCACTTTCAGAGTCCAGCATCAACCCGTGCCCATTGAAGGTAACCATGGCGGCCAGTTGGGGATGTGGGGACAACCAAGCAAGAGAAGCTTATGCTCCTGGGCTTACAATCCCAACAAGCTTCTAATTCAGACCCAAGGGGGTGTGCACACAGCTCCAGGCACACTGACAAGCCTTGTAGAGAGGACTACCAGGTTTTCGGGGTCACCTTGTCATTTCTTAATTTAAAAAATAATGAAGGCACCAGGCATGGTGGTGCACACCTGTGATATCAGCTATTTGAGAGGCTGAGGCAGAAGGATTGCAGGTTTGAGGCCGCCTGGGCAAATGAGTGAGACTCTGTCTCAAACTAAAAAGCCAAAGGGGCTGGTGTGTAGCTCAGAGGGACAGCCTTCCCCAGCACACACGAGGCCTGGGTTCAACACCAACCCCCAGCCCCCCAAAAGTGAGCATTCTATTCTTTGCATGGGATCATGATTCATCCTGAACCTTCCTGGGTCAGACATACTGTTTTATAGATTAGAAAACTCAACACAGGTAGGGCCTGGACACAGGGGAGTCCAGACACCAGCCTCCACAGTTCACTCTCAGTTCTCACTCAGTGGTGCCCCACGAGGCCCTGAGCATCCCTGCCCTTCTGTACTCCTTCTCATTTACCAGGGGTTTGTGTGTCTCTTCCCATTTGAGGCTCTTAGAAGAGAGGTGCTCAGGGTCCTCAGGGTCAGATGGTGGCGGGCCCTCCTGGGACGGCGTCTTTGGCCTCGGGGCTCTCCCCATTGCCTCCTCCCTGAGCCTACTGGGCTCTCTGTGGAAGGTCAACCAGGGCTACTGTGGGTAAGGCTGCAGGGCAGGTCGCTGAGCTCTGGCCCCACGGCCTCCTTGCCAGGCTGGTGGGTATCTGGAAGGCTCTGCTTTCAGCCAGAGGAGCCCCTCTCGACCCCTTTGTAGATGTCCCCCTGTGCCCACTCCCCATCCCACAGCCTTTGCTTAAAGGTGTGCTAGTCTGGATGTCCCTGCTGTCATCTGCAGCTGGGCCCCAGGCCAGGGAGCCCCTGGTCTTGGCCTCCTTACCCCAGCCAGGCAAATCTTTGGACACAGCCACACAACCTGGCTCCTGGTTTCTCTCTGTGTGGGGGTCTCAGAGGGGAGGTGGCCATGGATACGTGGGCAGCGGGTGGGGAGGGCCAGAGTGTACACCTGCCAAGTGTCCTACTGCCTGAGAGCTGGGGGCGATAGTGACAGAGGCCAACACCGACACAGATCCTCCTGCCTGAAGCCTGCGCTCTGATGCGTGTGCGTGTGTGTGTGTGTGTGTGTGTGTGTATGTGTGGGGGGGGAAGGGGGGAGGATGGGGGGGAGAGAGAGAAGAGGACGAGGAGAGAGGGGGCAGTCAGAGCAATCGGGTGACTGGTCAGGGAGGCCTTGCAGGACGGTTGGGGAAGGTCTCTCAGAGAATGGAGACAGGAGAGTAAGGGGCCAGTGGGCCCAGGGGACTGCCTGGGGCGCAGGCTGGGAAGGTTTCAGGGCCAGGAGTGGTGAGGCAGGAAGCACACAGGTGGGAGCAGGTGGCGGGTGAGCCCGGTGGCAGTAGCAGGAGTCAGGCCCTCACACTGTGGTGAGGACTTGGGCCCCAGAAAAAGTGCTGGAGTGCTGTCTTGGGCAGGTGGAGCGGGAGGCCTGCCACCATCCGGGTGTCAGGTGATGGCAGCTCACACCTTGGAGGAGTCTGAGGAGGGGCGGGAAGTGGCCAGGGACATTCTGGGTGTGTGGGACACAGAGGAAGAGCTAACGATGCCTCCCTGTGGCCGAGTGAAGACATAGCAGGTGGGAGGGACAAGGAGGCCAGTGGCCTTTGGAGGAGGTGGGGCCAGGACGCGCCCCCGCCCCCTCATGCTAATGTGAGTTCAGACAGACACCAAGGAGGCAGAAGTCCAAAGGGAGGGAAGACCCGGTGAGCGCCATACGAGAGTTCTCCAGGTGCGTGAGGAGTTTAAAACAACTAGGCACCGGAGAAGGTCACCTGGCACCAGGACTTGTCAGGTTCAAGGTGGGAGCTTGGGCATCCAGGAGAGTTGGGCAGGAGTGGTCTGAAGGGACATGGCAAGGAGGCTGGGAGCAGACTGAACAGGTGCTGGCAGAAGCAGCCTGGGGACAGGGCACAGGGAGCCAAGAGCCATGTCCTGCCTGTGAGGGGTTGGTCTGGGGGGAAGCTGGAGGGGTATGGTGGAGGGGGTCTAGGAGAGAAGCCAGGGGAGCGTCTGTCATAGCACGTGGGCGACTCAGTGGGGACCCAGATCTGTGAGGCTACAGAACTCTTCCCCAGGCCCTGGCTGGGTCTGAGCAGGTTCCTGGGTCTCTGGGATCTGCTTACTCCGAGGCCTGGGCCAGGCCCAGAAAGCAGGGGTCAGCTCAGGAGCCGAGTGACCCCAGACCTCATCCCTTCCCTCTAGACCCTGGGCCTTGACTTGTAAAGGGAAGGGCTTGGGATGCCCAGTGACTGGGGCCTTAGGGTGTCAAGGGCACATTCTGGAACTGGGCAGTGTGAAGTGTTAGCAGCCTTCCCTCTCTTTTCTGCCACAACAAATTGTTTTATTTTACACATCGGGCCCAAGACTTTTTGAAAAGACTAAACTGCTAAGACAACCCAGCCCTGGACCAAGAGGTATTTAAGGGCTTTCTGACCTGACAGTCTGTTTGTCCCCTTTTTTCCCTGCTGAGGAGCCCTCTTCCAGAGAGAAAGCACAGAAGAGCCAAGGGGGAAAATGTCAAAGCCATACACCTTGGCAGTGACACTTTTGGAGAGAGGTCGGGACCAGAGAGAGAAGAGCAGGGGAAGGCGCATTTCCTTAGCTTACTTGGTGAGGGGTTGACAAACACTGACTCGATTTTCTTATTTAAAGTTACAGTGGCAACCACCAGAAGAGCTAAAAATAATCCTTTAACTAGCAAAAAAACTGGAGGCGGCGGTGGAGAGAGGTGGAAGGAAGGAAGGTGAGCTGAGTGTGCCAGGTTTCAGAGTCAGGAAGTACTATTTAAAGTTGGAGGATCAAGATTTCATGAACACCACGGGAGGAGGAAATGGAATGGTTAAAAGCAGAAGGGACAGGACTGGGAAGGGGAGATTTCTCACCTTACATCCTATGGTTAAACAATATCTTTGCAGTGGGCTTTATTTGCTTATTTATGGGTGCTGGAAGCTGAGCTCGGCGGTATCCTCCCACTGAGCTATAGGTCCAGCTTTTTTTTTCTTTCTTTTTGTATCAGGGATGGAACCAGGGCGCTTAACCACATCGGAGAGTGCTCCAGATGCTCCAGAGTGCTCTAGCCCTTTTTATTTTTTGGGACAAGGTCTCACTAAATTGCTGAGGGCCTTGTTAGGTTGCTGAGGCTGGCTTTGAGCTTGTGAACCTCCTGCCTCAGCCTCCGGAGTCCTTGGGATCACAGGAGTGCACCACCACGTCTAGCTCGGATTCATTTTACATTTAATAGAATGGGCAAAAATTTAAGTGATGAGCAGGATTCGATGAGCTAACGGAAAACAGACTGGGGCCAGCTGGCCCTGAGGGTCCCTGGGGTCTGGCTGGCAGCAGGGGGAAGGCCTTGGAACTGGCCCAAGCAGGGAGAAAGGTGGGTCTCTCTGGCTTTGAGGACCAAAAGGGTGGGCCTGAGGGGTGTGGCTGAAAGCATCCTCTCCTGGCCCCTGTGGGGCTCTGGGAGGCTCTGGGTCTGGGATTTAAGCTCACACGCCTGCACCTGGTGGCCCCACCTGCGTCTTGCAGGGTTTCAGGATTTTCCCTGCAGACAATCTAGGTGTGCAGAAGCAGGAAGACAGTCTGACCCCACTCGAGTTCCTGGACTGCCAGCTGCCATCACGGTCGATGGAAATATCTGGTGTCCCCTGGAACATGCTGTTCCATGGTCCTACCTGGCCCATCAGTGTCAGGGTTTTTATCTCGGTACTGTTGGCATTTCAGGTCAGAGAATTCTTTGTTGTGGGCTGTCCTGTGCACTGTAGGGTGTTTCACTGGGTGCCAGGAGCACCACCCAAGTGATACAATAAAAAAATGCCTCCATATATTACCGAGTGTCCCCAGAGGGCAAAATGGTCCCAGCTGTGAAGCACTGGTGACAGTGACCAAGTCAGATCAGGTGATAGCACATGTGTCCTCAGATAGTGATTAAATAAAGCCCAGGGCTCTCTGTGGCCAGCTCCTCCTGAAATCCTGAGCACCAGACTGCAGAAGTGGGGTGGACTCCGTGTCTCCTGGTGCTCCCCTCCAGGGGCCACGGGCACATGACCAGCGAGCACATCTTTAAAGTGACCCAGCTCAGCGGCCAGGCCCTCGGCCCCTTGCCTCCTGCACTGGCCTGCACCAGTGTCCACATTCCACTTCCTCTCCTCTACCTCTCCCTCCTCCCATTCTTTCTCCTCACTTTTTGGAACACAATATTAAAGGATCCATTTGATTGCCTTTTCTATTTATTGGATGGAGTTACTTCTTCCTTATTTTAAATAATTTTAAAGTTAGAAGAATGGAAAGTTCATTATTTTTGTTTCATTTGTGGTGCTGGGGATTGAACCAGGCACTCTACTACCTCTGAGCTACCTCCCCAGCCCTAAAAATAAATTGTTTTCTTTAAAACAAAACAAATGGTCTTCTGCCTATATAGATGGTGACTTTTATTTAGGAGGTCAGGGCTCATCCCTGTGACCTTGGGACCTTCAGTCAGGAGGGAAGCACTTGTCCAGGACCAGCAGGGTCAAGGCCCCAGCTCTGGGGGCATTTCCTGTTTGGTTGTCTCTTGGCCCCTTCCTCATCTTGCACTTTTGGAATCTTTCTACTTTTCTTTCCCTTTTCTGTTGCAACATTAAGGAGGGGGAGAAGCTGGTTAAGAAAGTTGGCTGAAAACAGATAAGATAGTGGTCAAGGGCTTGGATTTAAAAGAGACACTTTTTTTTCTTCTTGTCCAGACTGTTTTTTTTTTTTTTTTAAATAACCCTAGTAAATCGTATAGGGGCTGCAATTCACATTTAAATGTAAGGCATCTCACCGCAGGTGGACCTCAGTGTGAACCCTCCTTGCCCCACGGTCCCACCCCTTCCACGTGGGCCTCAGGCAGCTCTAGGCCTTCCACCAGCCCAGGACACTCACTATTTGGCAGAATCGTTGAGCTGATACTCCCGAGACCGGTTGAAGCACTCTTGGATCCCTGAGTCGCCCCAGAGTCGTATCATAGCGGAAAGCAGCTCTGCAGAGAAGGGCTCAGTGTCTTCCATACGACTCACCACGTCACACACCATCTTGGCATCGGCCTGTGAGGAAAGAGGGACACAGGGTTCTGAGTCCTTGATGGGATTCTACCCAGACCAGGGACCTGGCCAGCTCGGGGCAGTGGGCGGCTCTGAGTGCCCTGTACCTCAGGACACACACCTGTCTGGAGCCTTCCACCTCAACCAGGTTCTAATGCAGCAAGCCACCCTGCCTGAGCAGTTGGGGAGAAGGGGGCTCTGTCCGCTCTGCCACTCAACTCAGAAGTTCTGCTTTGAAAACTGGGCTTTTGCTCAGCATTTGTTTTGGGGGAAAAAGTTTAAAAAACAATGCCCTTGGCTAAAATTGTAATTCCTTTATTTCCTACCCCAGTGGAGCACCGTCTCTCTTGGAGAAGATTTCCTGGTTGGCTGAGGGGCTGGGCCCCAGGGGGGCTGCACCCTAGTGGTGAGGGACCAGAGGGGTTGGTTTTAAGTTAATGCAGAGTTCTCATGCCAACTACACCTCGGAACATAGGCTCTTAAGTTTAAATTTGATATTAATAATCTTTTTTTACATCTATGATCTGTGGTGACTGGGAGAAGCCCAGACCTGCTTACACCTGGGAGGGTACAGGGCCGAGCTGGGAGCCTGGGAGTGCTCGCCCTCTCTGCTTCCTCCCTCCTGGTCTGAGGGGGTGAGCAGAGTCTGCTTAAGGCACACACCTTTTCGTAGGCTGAGACTCTCTTGGAACTACAGAAAAAGCACTGCATAATTCATAGGTTTCTCCCCACTTCCCCTCACCTAGGGTACCAAATGGGGGTCACCCGTTTTCAAAGACCATAATCAAGTACACGTGACATCAAGACCAGGAGTGCAGTGTTCTCGGAGGACTCAGAAGGCTCTTGGAGAAGTCATAGGATGGCGCTGTCACCACCACCTTCCTTGCACACGCAGGTAGCACTTTACAGTTTGCCTCGAGGAGCTGTGGGAGCCACGTGAAGAGGCTGATTCTTCATGCTCCCCTGTCTGCGCCCCCTGCCCTGCATAACCACTGCTGCTCCCTGGACGCAGGATGTATGTCCTGCTTTCCGGGCTTGGTGGCTATAGGACTTGCTTTGGCCCACAGAATACAGTGAGGGTGGCAGTGTGTAGATCCCTAATCCCTAGGAGGCCTTGAGTGCTTCTGCTGCTCCCCTGGCCTCTGTCACAGCTTTCCATCACTGTGACAAAATACCTGCGATAAATGATTTAAAAGGAGAAAAGACTGATTTTGGCTCACAGTTTTAGAGGCTTCAGTCCATGGCCGCTTGGCCAAACCACTCTGGGCCTGTGTGGAGGCCGCGCATGGCGGAAGCAGGACATGGTAAGCAAAGCTGCTCAACTGGCCTCCCTCTAGGCCCCGCCTCTCACCAGGCCCCGCCTCCCACCGGGCCCCGCCTCTTGAGGCTGCACCACCACCTCCCACTGGTGCCATTGTTTGGGGACCAAGCCTTCATTCAACACAGGAGCTTTTGGTACAATCAGGAGCCAGACCATAACACCATGGATATTCCTGGATTCTCATTCCTCCCAGGAAGAGGACTTGGGATGCCTGGGCACAGTTGAGTTCCCTGATTTCTGGGCCTTGACCAAGCTAAGCAGCTGAGTTTAGGGGAGCCTTGTCCCATGGCATGGCTATGGTTGCAGCTAGTGAATGCAGCAGGCACTGGCAGTAGTCAAAGTCAGGCCTTCTGAGCCGGGTGGGGTAGCACACACCTGTAATTCCAGCGGCTTGGGAGGCTGAGGCAAGAGGATTGCTAGTTCAAAGCCAGCCTCGGCAAACATGAGGCACTAAGCAACTCAGTGAGATCCTGTCTCTAAAGAAAATACAAAATAGGGCTGGGGATGGATGGGGCTAAGTGGTCGGGTACCCCTGAGTTCAATCCCTGGTGCCAATAAATAAATAAGTGAATAAATAAATAAAAATAAATAAATAAAATAAAAAGTCAGGCCTTCTGTGTGCAAGTGCCAGAAACTGCTCCTAAGGGGCCACAGAAAGGGTGAGAGGGCCCAGCCCTGAGGGCCTGAATACCTTGACATTTTCCTGCTTCTTCCTATTATCTGTATTCTTAGAGGTTTTTCCATGGGTTGGGGGACATAGGTCCCCAGTGACTCTGTGGACACACCCACTTAAAAAAACAAAAAACAAAAAACAGGGCAAGTTTATTACCAGGGATTGAACCCAGGGGCACTTAACCACTGAGCCACATCCCCAGCCCATTTTTTTTTTTTTTTATTTTGAGATGGGGTCTCATTAAGTTGCTCAAGGTCTTGCTAATTGCCGAGGCTGGCTTTGAACCTGTAATCCCTCCTGCTTTATCCTCCCCAAATGCTGGGATTACAGGCATGTGCCACCATGCCCAGCAAGTTTGTCCTAGTGGGTAAGAAGCATAGCATTGGGGGGCAGGTCCAAGGGTGGGTATAGGCTAAAGTGGGCCCCAAGGAGGTCCACCTGGGCTCCTGGGCTGGGGTCAGTGCCCTGTGCTCCCGGGTCCCATCTTCCAGTTGCCTTTCCCCATTTTAGCCTGCACATGCCCTGGAACTCACAGTGGCACTGAGCCCCTGCTGGGCTGGGAGTGGGGTGTGACAGGCCCACATCTCCCTGACCTCATGGGCTCTCAAGAGTAGGGTTGCTCTGTCCATGGGTGCATTATGATCATCAGAGAATTAATTACCCTGCTGCAGGCCCTTTCAACCCAACCCGCCAGTGAAGCTAGAGGAGAGAGACAGCCCAGCCCAGGGTGGCTTAGGAAGTGAGTGGGAGGTGCTACACATCCCCAAGGTGTTCTTTGGGGTGGGAGAAACAAAGAAAATGAGGTCAGCACCTGGAAAGGTTGGTGACCAATAAAAGATTCTGTACAAAAGGCTGGTGGGGCCAAAGCCTTCTTGGAGACTTGCAGAATAGAGCTGTCTGGCTAAGTAGCTATTTTCATGTCAGAGCCTGACCACTGCCGAAGGGTGATGGGAAACTTTTGGTAGCTCTGCCCTGGGAAGGGAGGTGCCATTGGAGTGGAGGCTGGAAGGGCAGCCCACCGTGCTAATCCAGATACAGTGTCTTGGGGACAATGTATCAAACACAGTGGCCCTGACAGGAAGGGCTGCTCACCAAGGAAGCCTGGGATCAGGACCGGTCCTGGAGAGCTGGGCCTGAGCCCTGGGTGCTCCTGGCAGGCACCCACAGTCAGTGAGGGGAGTGTCCCAGATCTGTGCAATGAGTGAGAGGGAACAGGTCAGGGTTCAGGGGCAATGGGGCAGGCCAGGCAAGACCTCTGCTGGGTAAGAAGGTCCTGATGCAATCTAAGTGCAATGAGAGCCATGCCACCCCGTCAAGGCCACATGGGACACTCCAGAGGTGACAAGTGAACTGTGGATCTCCTGTGAAGCCTTTGTCCTTCCCCATCTGATCCTCCAGGTCTGACCTGGAACTCTGTGATCCCCACTGCAATGGGGTGTGTTCTCCTCCAGCTCAGGGAACACTGGCCAAGGCGTCTCCTGTGACCCTCCAGTGGGCAGCCCAGGGTGGAGTCTGCCTCCCAGCTTCCCGGAGGTGTGCAGGGCAGGAGAGGCCTGGGAGTGACAGCCCCGGTCTTTGTCCCCTTTCCTGCTCCCTCTGTGCCTTCCCCAGGTCACTATACAGACAGCGTTGCCATCGCCCCAACTGCTCAGACCCGGACCAGGAGCTCTGCTGGTTTCACTGCTCCCTCCCGTTGCCTGTTTCCTGTCTGTGTCCCACACAGTGGGAGGCCATTAGTCTCCTCTCAACATCACGGCTCCCCTTCTCCTTTAGAAAAAGAACCCAATATTTTTTTTCTTTTTTTAAGTACTGGGAATTGAACCCAGGGGCGCTCTACCACTGAGCCACATCCGCAGCCCTTTATGTTTTTAGGTTCTCACTAAGTTGCTTAAGGCCTTGCTAAGTTGCTGAGGCTGGCTGAACTCGTGATCCTCCTGCTTCAACCCAAGTTGCTAGGATTATAGGTGTGCATCACTGTGCCCAGCCCCAATATTTTTTTTTAAAAATCTGGGTATAATCGCATCCAACTACGAGACTCTGTTTCCCAATTTTATTGCAGTTATGATCACATGATAAGTTATCCACAATGAGAGGTCAGCGGAAGTCCAGGGAGGTCTCTGGAAATGTCATTTTAAAGAGAAGAGGCAGCTTTTTCCTCTTGCTTCATCTCTCCCAATGCCCAGAACTTATGAGATGGCTGGAGCACTTGTAGCCAACTTAAATCATGAAGACAAGGTCCTCAACCTAGGGACAGTGACACAGTGATCTAAAAACAGCGTAGGTCCTTAAAAGCCTTGTGGAAACTCCATACCATCTGGAGTCATGCTAACACTATTTTAAGTGTTTGGTTTAAAAAAAACCACACACACACACACTTAAAAATAAAATTGTGTCTTATTTAAGCCACTATTTTTTCACATATTTTCAGGGTCTCCAGTATTCACAGTCAGACCTAATCTGAGTGGATACGACAACTGTCCCTGTTGAAGCTCTTAGAATAGTTCCCATCATCCCTCAACTCCAAATTCTTCACCATGGCCCACAGAGCTCCTGCCTACCTCTCTGCACCCTCTCCCTCCCAGCCACACAGTCCTTCTTTCCATTCCCCAAGTAAACTGCTAATGCCACCCCAGGCTCTCCATTTGAGCAGAACACCTTTCTCTGCCTCGCCCCATCTCAGATGTCACCTCCCTGGATGGTCTCTCCCTCCACGCACTGCCATTCCCTGTCGCGGCTGGTGCTATATGCCCATTCCTCAGGGCAGCGCTAGCCTCCTAATTCCCAGGTTACCTTGGGTCTCGCAGGGTGCTTTGTACATAGTTGGTGCTCAGAAAGCTTGTGGGATGTGGGATCTGTGGTGTTTTGATATCCGGCATGGCTTACCGCCAACAGCCCTGGACCTGCATCTCAGACCAGGTTGGGCCGGATTGACCTCCTAACTGCTGGGGTGAGGCTTTGAGAGTTGGGCCTCTGTGTGTGGCTGGAGCATGAAGGTGAAGCCTCATGAAT